CGTTAAGACAAAAGCAAGTTAAAAAACAGAACATATGATATGATTTTGCTTTTAAAAAATACACATGCAGGTATATAGTAAAAGAAAAGATTGCCTGAGTATATACCAAAATGTTCACAGAAGTTTTTTGGTGATGGGGAGATGCGATTACAAGTGACTTTTATTCCTTTTTCTATGCTTCTCTATATTTTTCAATTTTTTATGATGATGTTATATGACCAGAAAAGAAAGAACAATAGAAGGTACTTTTTTTAAAAAAGGACAAATGCCTTTAAAAGTCATTTGATATAGAGTTATTTAATATAAAAATATTCACAGCCTAAATATTCATTAATAGAGGAGACTGATTATGTAAAATAAATTACATCGACACACTGGAATAATATATACTCTGTCCATTAATATATTTTCAAAGAATAACGGTGATATAATATTTCCCTTAAGCCACAATAAAATTCTCATTTAACTAAATGACAAACGGAGGATGAAAATAAAACGGATGGAGCAAAATACACTAGGTAAGATGTCAAAAAAAAAAAAAAAAGACAAAACAAAACTCAAGGTCAAAAGCATTAAAAGAAATAAACAGGATTATTTAACTTTAATCAAGGTGAAATTCCCCCAAGAGGCTATAACGATGATGAAGAAGATCCTTTACATACCTAACTGCAGGGCTTGGAAATATGTGAGGCCAAGAACAATAGAGATGCAAGAGAAACTGATCATCCACAGTCTCTGTGGAAGGTTTCATCTCAAAATGAACAGATCACACAGAGATAAGGCTGGATAGACTCTAAGTCAAATTAGGCCCAGAGTGTGGACATTTGTAGTTATACCTAGAATAACGCTGGAAGGAAATTATTGAAATAATAAGAGGAGTTGTTTTGAAGTGTGAGGCTACATATATTCTTCTCCCTTTCTCCTTTTCTGTATTTTTCCACAATGAACATATACTTTTATAACGGAAAAGAAATAAAGTTCATGTTCAAAGAGAAGGCAGAGCGCAATCACAGTGTAATGAGCACAGCAGTCCATAGCACTCGCTGGACTCAAATGAGTCCACCAGGTGTGCACAGCTGTGACGGGGAGGTGACTGGTTGACTAGTCTAGGGCAAGCTTGCCTTCTTCACTCCACAGGAGTGTATGCAGGCCCCTCTCAGAGCTGGGCCGGATTTTCCTCTCTGGCAGGCCAGTGAGGGGATTTATAGGCCCAGAGGGATCCAGACATCTGTGCTCCATCTACCAGAAGCATTAACCTCCCTTGTCAGAAGCAGACGGAGTGCCATGCAGTTGGCTGTCCCTCTCTGACTTCTACAAATGCCGCCTTTGTGCTGAGGCCCAAGCCCCCAGTCCATATGGGACACAGGGGAGGCAAGAGAGAACAAGTCCTGCAGTGTCTTGCTGAACTGCTGCTGCAGGGACCGCTCCATTTGTAACTGGGTTTTTAACCTTTTTGGAAGAGGCTGCCAGCCCCGAGCTCTCACAATATCCTCCTGGGCTAACCTGTGGTCTCCAGAGGAGCCAGAGGAAGGACTGCTAAGCGTTCCATTACTGGTTAAAGAATCGTGTTTGGGTATTAGGGCCTAAGTTATCTCTTCTCCTATAATAGAAGGTGCCCAACCTGAGAGACATAACTGGATATGCGAAGGGATACATATGACTGTAAGATGCCAGGAGCCAGGGAAACATGGTATTGCGGCAAAGAACGAAGCTGTTCAATCACAGACTTGATTTGTTTTTGGAAGTAGAAAAGGTATACATGCACACATATGGGTAAGAAATAAACGACTGCTGAGAGGTTTGGGGCAGCCCCTACACTCCTTGTTCTCCACTCCTCTCCTTTTAGAATGGGCATCAAGACTACCATAGGCAAAATGGAAAAGAATGTGAAGTTGGCCCACTGAGTACTTTGGGGCCTCCCTCTTCCCCTCATCCTCCCTGCTCCTCAGGTTTCATTAGCATCCTATACTATTCTAGCTGGTAAGAGAAGCAATAAAGTCATGAGAATATTATTGAGATACTAGTACTGGAAATAATTCTGCAGAACTTGCACTGCATGCACCAAGGTGACTGACAGGGAAATATTTGGGAAGTGGGGCAAAATGGCATTCTTTGTGCTTTGCAGATCACCCTACAAACATGGCTGTCTTACTTTGAATACAACCTCAGGGGCATATTTCCTTTGGCTGACTCCCCAAGGACACGTTCACAACAGAAGCACACTGTTCAAGGTTCTCTCTGTGTCTGTGTGCATAATCATTATGAATAACTGTTCTGCATCTGCCGGGTTGTTTCTGTCCATAAATGGAGCCTAGAGTTAGCTAGTTATTACGATATTTGATAAAAGTAAATAAAAAAATTATTTTGCTACAAAGACTGAGGTTTTAAAAACCAATTTCCACATGTCATATTCCTCACTCGGGTCTGGCTTTCTCATGTTTGCTTAGCCTCAGTCTGTTCATATATAGTTTGATTTCTTTCTGTCCCAGTTCTGTAAGTCAAAACAAATTTCCAAGGTGATTAAATATTTCCTGCAGTGTTCCCTGTGTAGGATCTGTGTAGGACAGAAGTAGGAAAAAGAAACAAACGTTGTCTGGGAAGCTAAAGGAAAGATTTTGAAGGTATGACAATGGAGTAAGGTCTGGGCTGTGGTAGGAGGCAGAGGCAGTGCTTTCTCTAAACCCAGGAGCACAGAGTTTACAGGCTAGTCAAGGTGATAACAGTGACTGGAAGAGGCCAGGTGTTGAGAGGACAAATGAGAGAAGTGGGGACATTTGTAGGTGATAGATGTCTGGCTATGCAGGTCCAGCTCATTACTGCCATGTAGGAACACAGGCCTAGCATCATCAGGCCTTCCAATTCCTTGAGAGGTCAGAAATCCAGATTCTCACACAGACTGCTTTGATTTTCAAACGTCAGCTCAAAACACTGTGCAGCCAAACAAAATACAGTTTGAGGGCCAGATGTCAACTTTATCTAGAATGTAAGCAGCATGAGGGCAGGAAGTAGAGCCTGGTGCATGATGAGGGCACACACAATGCTTGTTGGATGAGTGAGACCCTTCCTGGGGCAGAGGGTGGACAGTCCTAGAAAAGACAACAGGAAGACATAGCTAGCAACATGGAGGTCTTGTAATCAAGAGGGGAAATAACTCCAGAGTAAATGAACTTGAGCCACAGCTACTGGAATGGAAAGGGTGAAATAGCAATAGACAGGCTAAAGAATTTTCAAAAAGCAGAACTCAGTGCAAGACCAGATGTGCAGGACTAAGGCAGTGATGAATCTTCCAAGGGGAGCTTGTGATGAACTTGGCCAGAAAGCTGAGGGAGACTGGTCATGGGGTAGAGAAGTTAAACACATTTTCTCCACTAGCTTCAAAGCCCTCCGTCTGGCTCCCCTTGATGACCTTATTTTTTTCTCCTCTGTTCTCTCACAAAGGGGATCACGGGATACCCAGGGGCCCAGAAACCCAAGCACCAAGAGAAATAGAGCCAAATCTATAGCTAATTATGTGATGAAGTATTCATTCAGGAGAAACTGTTAGCAGAATTAACAAAGGAATGGGCAGGGAAGGGTAAAAGCACTGGAGAGGAACAGCACCTATAGGAAAGCAGAGAGAACAGCTTGGGCTATGTGGAGTCGTGGCGGCACATTGGCTGAATGATGAGGAAGCAATGACAGGAGGGAGTGAGGGTCATTCAAATAGTTCTCAAGTCACAGATTGTCACAGCATGGGAAGGGCCTTGGGTTCCAGTCCACAGTTTTCTTAATCAGTCACAAAGTCAAGATAAAAATACTACGAAGAAAGTATTCAGGACAAGTGAGGAATGGCAGGCTCAAGATCATTTCTCAGCTAAACAAGGTGAGCCTTTTCATAGCATGACTTCAATCTACAAGAAGATTTTTATGATTAATTGGGTATAAGGTCTTAGACAAATCTCAATTTTCACTTTAAAAGGTAAACTTTATCAGAAGCTTTAGAACAAGAATAACTACAACCACTTGTTAACCAAATAATTATTATAGTAGATAATATTTACTACTTAGCTAACTAATTAGTAAATTACTGATTGCTAACTAAGGGCTAAGGCACTATACTAAGTCCTTTAAATGCCCTATCTTATAAATCTTTACAATGATTCTATGGAAGAGCTAGTGGCATCACCCCCAGTTTACCCATTAGGAATAAAAGCAAGACCTAGAGATATTAAGTTATCTGCCCAAGGTGACAAAGTCTTTAAGAGATAGAGCTGAGGTCAGAACTGAGATACTTCACATCCAGGGCCCTTGTTCTATGCCAGAGATCAGCAAACATTTTCTGAAAAGGGCAAGTTAATAAATATTTTTGGCCTTGTAGACAATATGGTCTCTGGCACAACTATTCAACTCTGCTACTACAGTGCAAAAGCAGACATAGACAACGTATAAATATTTGGGCATGCCTGTGTTCCAACAAAACTTTATTTATGGACAAAATTTGAATTTTATATAATTTTCACATGTTGTATCATTCGTCTTTTGCTTTTTCTCCCCAGCCATTAAAAAAAGTAAAACCATTCCTAGCTCATGAGCCATAAGATGACAGAAGGTGGGCTGAATTTTTTTCATGTACTGTAATTTGCAGATCCCAATCTAAGCCATAAAGCTCTCTTGCCCTCTGGCTCACGTCATGTGCTAGTTTCCTTGAGAGGCCCATAGATATTTTAGGACAAAACCTGTGAGAGTGCACCTGGATGGTGCACATGACTCGGAAATACAATTGTGAGGAAAGACCTGACAGAAATGACTCCTCAAGTAACATCTCTAAGGACTCCGCCGTATCCCGTTTACAACTTTAAAATACCTCTTTCTTCCTTTCAGTACCCTCACTTGCTCTCTTCTATTGAAATAAATTTTGATTCAGGTCAGTCTGAAACCAGGGCAGGTTCTGGGTAAAACAGAAATGTCCTCTCCTACATAACAGGTTTGCTGGAGACATGAACCCACCGTGTCTTTCTTACCTGCAGGGTTTGGCCGAAGCGCTTCAATGGTGTGGCCTTCACAGGAGGGATGAGGTTTGCTAGTGATGTGACTCTGGAAAGGGGTTTGACCCGTTTATTACTAGGCTCCTGTAGGGTTAAAAAAAAAAAAAAAAAGGAAAAGAAAATGTCAAGGTCAATTATGAAGACAACATAACTCCACAATACAGTCATGTCCCACTCCATGATCTGCTGGCTGCACGCCGATCTGTGGGATGTAAATGGTGCCCTGTCTCACTTCAGCTGTGTGGAGATGACTTGGCTTAAGAGCCAGGGAAGGAGTAACGGCAGGAGGATGTCAGCAGAAGCAGCTTCTGAGCAGACGGCAAATGGCCGGATCTGCTCCTTACTCCTCACTCCCAGTATCTGCCAGCTTGTAAATTGGGAAGATTCTACTCAGTAAAACCATTCTCTCCAACTCTTCCTGTAGAGAAAAGCTGCCTCAGATTTCCCACCCAATGACCTTGTCAGGCAGCTGTCTTTTGACGCTTCTGGTTTCATCTTTTAAAAACCTTTTCACCACCTTGCCTGAAGCCACTCTCCAAATTTCTTTTATGAAGTGGCTTTTCTGAAGCACGATGTTTTTTTCCTAGTTAATTAAATTAAAAAAATTTTAAGATAAGTTCCATTACTATCTCTTAAGAAAACAAATTTGTATCATCAGTATATTTGGAATGTACACATTAATACTTATAAATAACAACCAGACAGCAAAAGAAATCGTCTCCACATAAAACATATAAAAACAGGCTGAAAGAGAGAGATGACAGACCAAACATCTTACAAAGACAAAGAGAACAGTTACCCTTGCCTTCCTAAGCTCCATCTGACCTGTGGTAGATGCAGGACAGCACATGAAGACACCAAATTTTGCTGGAAAAAGCCAAATGTGCCAAATGTTGTGGCGAACCTCAGTCATTTCCAGAGAGAACCTCAAGACGCTCATCTTTCTTTTTCAGTCATTGCTTTCTTTCAAAGTTTCAAGGGTTAAGCCAGAACTTCAGATTCTCCAGGACATCTCTGCAGGGTGTTTTAAACATAGTAGGTCCTTGGAAAAATCTTGCCTGGATTTGGAATTCTGCCGAGAAACTCTCATGTCATTTTATGCCCTTGCCAGCCTCAGAAATCAGAACATTTCTTTGAAATAGACCCAACCTTTCTGCCATTTAAATAGAAAAATTTAAAAAACTACGAGAAAAGCACAAAAACAATCCCACAACGTGGCCAGGAGAGACTTCACAATTTCCTGAAGCAGTGAAATACTTTTCCAAGACAGAGAATCCGGGCTGCTGGGTACTTCAGCTTCTTGGCTTCTTGAACTGAACAGACAGCAGGAAACTCTCCAAACACTGGGAAGTCTCAGTTCCAAAATGCAAAGGATGAATCTCTCGACATGAGAGACATCACATCATAATTACTAAAGTGCCTTAGAGAAAGATCCAATAGCCCTGCTGTTTTCAGGTGACAGTGCCCTTCAGAATGCTCCCTGTCCAGTTCTTGGCTTCTGAGCATCTGCTCCCAGCAGAGGATTTAAAAAATATTTTACGTCAGAGCTGCACCACTGGCATAATGAACCCATACACACACACATACGCATGTACGTGCACACATGCACACATGCGTGCGTGTACACACACACACACACACACAGGCTCTTGAGCATCGCCTGAATTTCTCTAAATGGCTCTCTGCCATGGGCTGGAAATGTCAGCATTGTGATATCACCCCCTTTGGTGACACAAACTGCATTGCAGCAAGTGAGATGGGAGATTTCCTGGGGAAGCAGGACTTGGTGTCAGATAATCTTGCATGTACTTCAGAACCCAGAGACTCTTGGATCTGTTTCTTTAATGGGTAAAGCTGCTGGGTCACAGAGTCTGTATCAGAATAGGGAAGCTAAAGGGCAAATACCAATTGGGTTCTCTTGCTTTAAAAAGGAGCAGGGAGCATTACAAGCTTGGCACGACAAGAGAAGATTCAGCTCTGTTTCACCTGCTGTGTCATCTTTTCTAAGGTTCTGCTGACTTTGCTGTCCATTTTACAAGACCCAGTTAGATGGGCGTTTTCTACACAGCTACAAGACATATGCACGATGCAAATGCTTGCCCCTCTGCAGGTTGTGTGCAGTGATGCTACATGAGATTGTAATTAAAACTCCTTTCCTAAGGCATTGACCACTTGGAAGTAAACTTCAGGCTGCTCTTTGGCAATTTGACATTCCCAAGTATGAAAAAGAAACTATTGCTGCATGATTTAGTACTGTGATCCAGCAAAGCAGGCTGGTACAATTTTAAAACCAGAACATTTACAGGTTACTGGATCTATGGAGGTTTTATGCCTCACCCAAACGAGCAAAGTATGAATCACGGTATTTTCTTTGAGGGCTTCAGTGAGAATAAGAGATTTAAAAAATTCTTGGTCTAATTTGATTTTTCTTTTCCATTTACTCAGTATGTCTCCAGCTACATTTTACTGCTGTCTGAAAAGAGCCCTCAGGGAAAATGTTTCCAGATTCTAGTTAAATAGCTCTACTGAGAACTAGCAAATGCAATACCAGGGATGCTTTGGCGCTTTACAGAGGGATGACGGAATACAACCTGCAGAGGCTTCCCAGTCCAACAACTCAGCTGCCAGACCAAGCAGGGCAAGGCCAGTGTTAAACCCAGGAACAAGGTGTCCTGTTTCAAGTGCAGACACCATCCTACCATGTGATTTTAAGACAGGGCAAGAGGGCACCTCACCAAAGAGGGTAAAAAAGAAAGAAAAAGGCATTTAATGTTTTGTGTCAGCATCATTCTGAATAACAAGTTCTGTTGCATCTTTCCCAGGCCTTATAGCTTGTTGTTTTTTGTCTTATTGAACTGGCTAGGACCACCGGTGTACTGTGAATTACAAGTTAAGATCGTGGGTACATTAGTCTAATTCCTAAATCTAAAGTGATTCTTATGAAGATTTCATCATTAAGTACTATGTTTGTTGACAGCACGGACAAGACATGCTTTATTAAGTAGAGGAAGTGCCCTTTTATGCTGTTTGCTGTGAATTTTTATCATGAGTATTTACTTTTATCAAATGTTTTCTCTTCATCTTTTCAGAGGATAAGAAAGTGGGGAGGAAAGAAAAAAGAAGCGAGAGGTGGGAGGAAGGAAAGGAGAGAATGAAGAAAGGCATGGAGGTCATATTTTTTCAAAAAGGAATTGATTCAGCAATTTAAAATATCTTTTGTGCTTGAATCAAAAACAAAGGGGAATAAGCACTCTATGCAATTTTATTTTTAATGTGGGTTTTAATTAAATAAATTTTAATATTCTTTCCCTGGGAGATACTATAATTTTTATCTTCTCATTTTTCCCAAGAGATAAAAACCAAAGTAGATTATTTGCAATGTAAGAAAATGACTATCGTATCAATATGATCTAGCATAACTTTTTATTCCTTCAAAAATAGTTCCATTCAAATAGGCATGGCATACAGGAAACTCTCATTCATTCTCCCTGCACTTCATTTTTGCACCAGACAGGGCTGGGAACAGTAGGAGGTCTTCTGTATCACATCTGTAGGTGCCCTGAGACTCTACCTTCACTGAGCCATAAATATGTCCCAGGAAGTGTGAGAAAGACAGCCATCAGTGTAGGGCTTGGACTGTTCTACTGCAAGGCAGCACTGCTCTTGGCTGCTCTGCACCTGGGCAGGAGCAATGGAGAGGAGAATCAATTATGCCAGCAGATGCTTTTGCCCATATGGCATCACTAAAAATGTCTTTCAAATGCTTGCAAATACCAGGAAAGCTTTATGCAGGGCTCCTGCTCACCCAGGAGTAGTTTCATCTACTCAGTAACCCTCTAGAATGCTTTTATCATCATATTAAAAAGGAAGTTATGATCTCAGAGTGATTGAGAAGCCTAGTGTTATTAAATAATAATAGTGAGCTAACATTCGTTGTAGGGACTCTTCTCAGTGCTTTACCGATATTTACTAATTTATTCCTCCAAATAACTCTGCAAGGCAGCTACTATTACAATCCTCATTTTAAAGATGAGGAAACTGAGGCGTGAAGTAAGCAACTTGCTTAAAGTCTCTCAGCTTTAAACATAGCCAGGATTTAAATCTAGGCAGGCTGGCTTCAGAGCCCATGCCCTATACCAGGGGGCTTGGCTATCTCTTACTATAAGTGCCAGATGGTAAATATTTTAGGATTTGTGGGCTATTCAGCCTCTGTCACAACTACTGGTCTCTGCCATCAGCTATAAACAGTATGTAAATAAATTAGTGTGATTATGTCCTATTAAACCTTTGAGCATAGGCTCAGTTTGCATCTTCTGGAGCTGGAGCTGGGCATGCAGGGTCCTCCCTTGGTGAGCAGGGGATATATCTGACTTAGCTTTTATGTGAGTAAACCCCAACCTACTGCATTTTATTCTCTTAACTTTCCAAACAAATCGGCCCAAAGAAAACACAAACTTTCCTTGACCATTAATATATACAAATAAAAAAATGATACAATGCCTGAGATCTGCTTCAAAGTAGTATGGGGCTGGGGAAATGGATGTGTAGGAAATAGGATTGATCATGGGTTGGTAATTGTCAAAGTTGGGGGCTGGGCACAGGAGACTCAGTGTATAGTTCTATCTATGGTACATGGTCAAAATTCTTCATAATGAAGATTGTTTTAATGAACAACTTTTTTGCAAATGCACCAGTGAATGCCGAACTAGAGCAGACAGGTGTCATCTAAGATTTTTACGTCAGTTGTTAGTGAGGGCCTAGTAAGAAAAGATACTAAAGAGACATTGACTATAATTAGAAGAAATCTGGTAAAATGAAAAAAAAAATCCCACTACTGAATTTCAATAATTCTCAGCTAATATAGACCAGAATAGGGAAAGGTCCACATAGCTGGGAGAGCTACCTCAAAACATTTAAAGATGGGCATCACAGAGAGTCACCATCCCAGCCACCAGACTTACTCAAGTCTGATTTACTCTACTTACTGTTTTGTTTTTATTTGCTCTCATTAAGAAAACCAACAACAGGCTCCCAATCACTGAACTCCACGACATAAAACAATCTGGTGGAGTTCGACTCTGACA